TGCTCCTGAGGGAGTCGGAGCTCATGTGCACTGAAGCAAAGGCTCTGTGCTCGAGCAGGGCCCCTGCATACTTTCCCTTATAGGGTTACAATCCGACTCTCCATGCAGACTCTCCCCATTACTTCCACCCGCCTCCGCAGATCCTCTAAAAGGGCTGCTTCAAGGTAGATCTAAGAACTCTCAGGAGAAGCAGCACAGCCTGAGGCACTGTCTGGCTGGAAAGCTTCCCTCAGCTGGACTGCATCTGAAATTCCTTTTGATGACCATTATTTGAACAACTGGATGGCTCTGAATACAGGTCATTAAACTGCTTTGGTTCCCAGTTCCCTCATGTATAATGTGGGGATAATAACAGTTATGTGCCGACCCGCACTGCAGTGACGATCCAAGGACCGCTGTAAATGCAAACCTCTGACTCTGGGGACACTCAGCTAACATCAGTTTAACCTGCATCTAAAAAGGGAAAGCAAATAAAGTCTATTCATAACTCTCCGGTGTCTGAAGAGAACCATGACAATCACGGTGCAGTTTCAGCACTGACTGACAGCTGGATCTTTAAAAGGTTTATCAGCTGGGCACAATGGTTCATGCCTGTAACCCCAGCATTTTGAGAGGCCAAGGCAGGTGGATCACCTGAGGCAGGGAGTTCGAGACCAGCCTGGCCAACATGGTAAAATCCTGTCTCTACTAAAAATACAAAATTAGCAGGGCACGGTGGCACATGCCTGTAGTCCCAGCTACTCGGGAGGCTGAGGCAGGAGAATCGCTTGAACCCAGGTGGTGGAGGTTGTGGTAAGCTGAGATCGTGCTACTGTACTCCAGCCTGGGCAACAAGAGTGAAACTCCATCTTCAAAAAAAAAAAAAAAAAAAAAAAAAAAATTATCAATATCCCAAAGGAAAGTCTGTGTTTATAAAAGGGATATGTGTGCGTGTGTGTATATTCTGGGTCCTAAGAATGATCCTTTCTGAATTATAAGGATCTAGCAAGGAGTCTTCATGAAAAGAGCTGGTGTAATCTCCACAGAACACATTCCTTCAGAAAATTAGCATGACCCTTAAAAGTCAGATTCATTCACTGTTGGACAAGACAAAACATGATGGAAAATATCCTTCGATTGTTCTATAGAAAGCAAAAAATAGGACCTAGATCTGGGTATGGTTCTTGCTCATCAAAATAATATACAGAACCTGAAAATGGGTAACAGAAGCCAGACCTCCTGATGCCCAGGCTGGGAGAAGTTTACCAGCACAATCCGAGCTGGTGGCTAACACAAGCTTCAAATACAGTATTGAAAACACAGTGTTTCCACTCCATTTACAGAAGGTCGACTCAGTTCAGGAGCAAGTTATTAAACATTTACGTTCACGACGTTAAACTCAGGCTAAAGACAAGTGAGATGGTATCCCTGACACCCAAGGGCTCACAACCAGGAACAGCAGACACACACACACCTGGACTCACAGAACCTCATTCTAGGGAAGGAAGAATCACAGAAGCTTTCCAGAAACAGCGGCGTCCACGGATCTCCAGTTCTGAGAGACCCTTCCAGAGGCAGCATTAAAGATGAACTGGCGGAGTGGGAGGCTGGAGCGGGAAGGGGCACACCAGTCAAGAGAAGGCAAAGAATGAGAGTAACAGGAGAATGGAAGGAGGAGATGCAAACGTACACTCTCTTTCTTGTCAGATATTTTGAACATTCACTAAAAACAGGAACAATGAAGTCACCGCACAAATATTTGGGTTTCTAAGCGTGGGGCATCCCATGACAAGCAAAGCAAAGGCGAGCCCGAGTGAGAGGCAAAGAGTGGCAAATGAATAAAAGCACGCAGAAGTGATGACGGGTGCCACAGGAAAATGCATCCAACCAACAATTTTATCTCAGATTTTCAGAATCTCCTGTTTTTTGCTCTTGCAAATCAATGAAGCTAAAAGAAATCAAACTCGGAACAAAGCCACCAACGTAACGTTAAAAAGTACTCAAAAGTAAAACCAACTGAATCAAAATTAGGATGATGATGGAACCATTTGCAGTGAGCATTTATGAGGCTTTAAATCATTTTGATATTACTATTTTAAGGATCGGTGCTGCCAGCACTGCAGACTTACTCAGAATATTCACATATGCATTCACTCTTACTGGGCAACACACGCTTTCAGCATGTCCTTATACACAAGGGAGGATTCTGTCTTTCTTCTGGTTCAGTACTATTATGCTATTATGTTTTTTTTAAAATTGCCGTGCTATTTGTTTTTATTTCATTAAAAACAACTTTTTTTTTTTTGAGATAGGACTCTTGCTCTGTCACCTGGGCTGGAGTGCAGTGGCACAATCACGGGTCACTGTAACCTCTGTCTCACAGGTTCAAGAGACACTCCTGCCTCAGCCTCCCGAGTAGCTGGGACTACAGGCTTGCGCCACCATGCCCGGCTAGGTTTTGTATTTTTGGTGGCGACAGGGTTTCACCATGTTGGCCAGGCTGGTCTCTAACTCCTAGCCTCAAAGTGCGGTGATTAAAGCATGGGCCACCACGCCCAGCCCCATAAAGAACAATTACTAATTTCAGGAACACTTTGTTTTGATACAAAAACTTGGATTTTCAAAAATGAAATTGCGACATTTTAGAAAAACAAGTTATTTAATATACAGAAAGGACTGACATTGTGATTCACCTAAATGCACCAAATCACAAGCTCTCTCAGCTGCTGTTCCTTCCCCAGCAGCTCTCTTAACTCCTTCTGCTATAAATACATTTCCGCCAGCTCTGAATGTGTGGCCAGGAGGCTACTCACCAATAAATCCTGAATTCCTCCTCTCCTGAGGGTCAGTAAGGAGAGGGGGACATGAGTACAGGGCACACAGGCAGCAGACATTAATATGACCGTAAGAAAATATTATGAACAGCTTCATGCCCACAAATTCAACAGCGTAGATGAAATGGCCAAATTCCTTACAAGATGCAAACTTTCGGAGACAGAAAAGAAGAAACAGACTATCTGAATAGCTCTATAGTAAAGAAAACTGCAGGCCCAGACAGCTTCACTAATGAATTCTATCAAACATTTCAGGAGAAACAATACCAATTTTCTACAAACTCTTGTAGAAGAGAAGGGCCAGCAAAGAACTCAGAAAAAAAGACATTACAAGGAACCGAAACAGACCAACATACCTCATGAACACAGACAGAAAAATCATTAACAGAAATTTTTTTTTTTTTTTTTTTGAGATGGAGTCTCATTCTGTCACCCAGGCTGGAGTGCAGTGGTATGATCTCAGCTCACTCTATAACCTCCACCTGCTGGGTTCAAGCAATTCTCCAGACTCAGCCTGCCAAGTAGCTGGGATTACAGGGACGTGCCACCAAACCCATCTAATATTTGTATTTTTTAGTAGAGATGGGGTTTCGCCATGTTGGCCAGGCTAGTCTCAAACCCCTGACCTCAGGTGATCTGCCCACTCCAGCCTCCCAAAGTACTGAGATTACAGACCTGAGCCACTGCGCCAGGCCATTAACAAAATTTTTAGCAAATTAAACAATATCCAAAAAGGATAACACATTAAGACCAAATGGAGTTTACCCTTGGAATTCAAGGTTGGTTTAACACTGGAAAATCATTACATATAATTCACCATATTAACAGACATGAAAATGAGGAATACAGGAGAATGTCTTCTAATAAATCTAATAAAAGGCATCTGTTAAAAAAATCTAAAATTTTTCATATTCTTTATCTCACTTTACAGTTAAAACTCATCAAATTGTATCTTTAAATATGTGAAGTATATTGTACATAAATTTACTTCAATGAAGCATTTAAAAAAAAAGAACAATTGAAAAAATGAAAGAAAAGGAAAACAACAACCTAGCACCACTTCTAATAGTATTAAAATATGTGAAATATATTAGGATAAATTTAACAAAGTGTGTAAAAAAAAATCTACAAACTGACAACTATGAGATGTTGTTAGAAAAACACCAGTCTATGCCTGGTGGGAGGACCATAAATAAAAAGAGAGATACTATATTTGGAAGAATCCTTACTGCTAAAATAATAATTCTCTCCCAAATCCATCTATAGATGTAACACAACCTTAATCAAGATCCCAGAAGCAATTTTTGTTTTAAAAAAAGGCCAATTCTAAAATATATGAAAATGAAAACAAAGAACTAGAATACAAAATTGCCAAACGATTGTAGAAGAAACGAACAGTGTTGGAAGACTTCTCTTACCTAGCTTCAAGGCTTACGATAAAGCTACAATAATCGATACAGTGTGGTATGAGCATTGGATACACTGGTGAACTGAACAACGCCCAGAAATTCACCCACACATAAATAGTCACCTGACTCCTGACAAAGATACCAAGGTGATGCAATGGGAGGAAAGAAAAAGTCCTGGGAACAACTGGTACCGATGTCAGCATGGAAACTAAACTCTACCCTGTGTCACAGCAAATACAGGAATTACCTTAAACAGACAGGACCTAAACATAAAAGATAAAACGGTCAGACATCTCAGGGAAAACACAGGCAAAAATATTTATGACTCTGGAGGTAGCGAAGATTTCTTAGGACAGCAGAAGTACTAATCTGTAAGAAAAAAATTAATAAATTAAACTTTTTAAAAGAAATCTTTAAGAAAATCAGAAGAAAATCTCTTCAATACATATTTCATGACACAGAACTTGCAACAATACACTGAACACCAAAAATAAGAAGACAAATAACCTAATAAAAAATAAGTAAAGTAGTTACAGACATTTCACACAGAAAAGAATGGCCGATAAGCACATAAAATACGCTAATGTCATGAGTCATCGGCTCCATGCAAATTAAAGTAACAGCGAGATGCCCCGATACATCCAACAGAATGGCTGAAATTTACATGACTCGTCCTATCAACGCTTGGCAAAACTGGAGAGCAACTAGAATCCTCCCGCTTTCCCGGTGGGAGGACACACAGTTTGGCAGTTTTTTATAAAGCTAAATGTACACTTACCATGGGATCCAGTAGTGCCACTCCTGGCTATTTACCTAAGAGGCATCACTGCATGTGTCCACAAAAAAACAATGGCCGCTTTCTTCCTAACAGCCCAAGACTGGGCACAGCATAAGTGGCCATTAGAACGCACATGGATAAACAGATCGTGATATGTTCACACTATAGAATATTTTTCAGCAATCAAAATAAACTACCAAAAAACAACAAACTACCCACACACGTAACTCAGGTTAATCTCAAAAAAGGCCATGCAAAAGAAGCTAACACAAAGCCAAAAGTGTGACTCCGTTTCAGTGAAATTCTAGAACCGGCAAAGGAATCTGCAGGGCCAGGAAGCAGATGAGTAGTTGCCCGGGTCTGTGTCCCGAGGAAAGACTGACAGCAGAGGCTGTGAGGCTGTGAGTGAGCTCGGGGTGGGGGCATGCCCTCTGTCTTCATGGACTGGGATTCTGTGGGCTGAAGAAGCACGTGAGAGGCACACAGCCAAGAATCAGAGGGAAACCCTAATAGGTCAAGGTAAGTAAAATTCAACAGGAAACACGACATATTCTAACTGATAACACTAGATCTAGGTAAATAGAATTGTCAGAGATTTTGCTACACAACAGCATTAAAGTTAGGTAACAACGGCATATTAAGAGCTAATTCTGTTTTTCATAAGGAAGACAGCAGGATTCCTAATCACGGGCCCTAATAACCTGTGTTCTCTTCATTACCCTAAAGCTGTGTTACATCTTGATATTCATGAATGAGTCTTTCTTCTATCAAAGGAAAGGAATAAAAACAAAGGAGAAAGAAAAGGAAGGCTGAACTTATCAACATGGTCTCATTTAAAAAAATAATAAAAAGGCCAGGCACCGTGGCTCACGCCTGTAATCCCAGCACTTTGGGAGGCCAAGGCGGGAGGATCAGCTGAGGTCAGGGATTCGAGACCAACCTAGCCAACACGATGAAACCCCATTTCTACTAAAAATACAAAAAATTAGCTGGGCACAGTGGTAGGCACCTGTAATGCCAGCTACTTAGGAGGCTGAGGCAGGAGAATTGCTTGAACCCAGGAGGCGGAGGCTGTAGTAAGCCGAGACCATGCCATTGCACTCCAGCTTGGGAAGCAAGAACAAAACACCAACTCAAAAAAAAAAAAAAAAAAAGCAGACTTTTCACTCACTTTATGAGTGAAGTAAATGAAGTGCAGAGGTGAAGGGCCCACAGGCTAGGAAAGTCAAAAGCAAATTTCTCCTGAATCACTGCAGGGATGGGTAAATTTAAGATGCAGGGGACAAAAGAGGCTCCGGAACCATCTCTAAGTGGAGAAGCGTCACTTAAGAACCACACGGGCCTCTCCACATGGAATGAAAGACGACCCAGCCAGCTGCCAGCTGCCCCTTAGAACACCTAAGGCTCTGCAGATGTCCAGAGTGACAGGTGGGCTCCTGATCACAGGGACAGCAGGCTCGGCAGAGGAGCGGTGGGAGGTTCCAGACAGAGAGGTCCGTTCACAGACCTCTGCATTCCCCAAGGAGACACTGGCAGAGGGGTGGCAGGAGAAAAGGGGAGGTAGGAATCATCCCGTGTGCATGCTGCCAGCTGTGAGATGCCATGTGTCCAGCAACTGAGAGAACAGACACTCAACATTCACCTCCATCTTTTCACACTTCAACTCCATTACATGCATCTCTCAGCCATGATTCTATTTAAATAAAACGCCAACTTTGATTAAGGCACCGGAACTATAACACGACATCTGGTGGCTTCCAGGGTGCCGCGAACTCGAACCCCCAGGACTCAGCCTTTCCCACGGAACCGCCATCATCGATAACAGCCCACACCACTCGGGAATGCATTTGAGATTGTGCCCTGACCCAGCCAGCCGGGATGAAACTGTAGTCCATGAGTCAAACGGTGGTGGAGGGCAGCGGGATGGGGGATCCTATAGAAAAGAAGATGAAAATATCCTCCTTGAAATGGCAGGTGGCAGACAGGTAAAAAGACAGATGAACATCAAAACACATGACCCGAAAGAGATAAACTGGAGCATTTCAACCATACGAACTTTCACTCTTACCTCTCAGAATATCTCATATCACATATGAGAAAACGAAGACACAAAGAGATCAGGGGACTGTCCCAGCCCCACTGCCAAGGGTGGCAGAAACCACCCCGTTTCACCTGGCCCCTTCTAACCAGTCCACGGCTCTTCATACTATTCCAAATCAGTGACTAGCAACGTCCCCTTTCCATCAGGAAAACACTGCTGAATCATGACTCTTGTAAGATGCCTAAAAAGACAGAAAACCGCCTTCACACTCTACAGCTATACCACACTTTTAATGTAAAAAAGCTAAAGATTCCAGGATTTTTAAAACACTTTCTGTCCTTCAGTTTGGAACACCCTAAACCCATGCCTCTCAACCTTTCCTGGGGACACATCTCGCCACCAGGGGCCTTGTTAAAGGCAGGTTCTGACTCACTCGATCTGGGGACGGCCTGATCATCTGCATTCTCACAGGCTCCCGGGTGATGCCTACACTGCTGGCCATGGCCCGGGCCCTAAGCCACGGACTCTGGTATACCAAGGGAAGGGTATTTCCAATGCAGAAGGAACCGGCAATAATGTTCCTTAAGGAAATAATACGAATGCTGCTGCCTCCCCCGCTTCCCCCCCATGGCCTCAGCGGGCGCCAGAGGCCTTCAACAGAGGCTGAGCTGAAATCACCAGCAAAGCCCCCAAGAAGGGAGCTAGCACAATAAGAACAACACCCCAAACACTGCGCTTGGCATCTGGCTGACAGTCACTCTGTCAAATTCAACAAGACCTAAAATGACTTGGGAACAGTGAGGGTTCAATTCGCAGAGGTTTACCCATATCCTCCACCATCCATGGCAGGGGAGATCTGAGCAGCCCAAATCCGGCCCAAAGCCTATTTTTGCCAATAATGTTCTACTGGGATCCAGCCACGTCATTCATTTACGTATCACCTAGGCCGTGTTCACACCCCAGCAGCTGGGTTGGGTCTCGAAACAAAGCCCAAAGCCTACAATACGTACTCTCTGCTCCGATAGAGAAAAGCTTGCTTACCTCTTTCTGGGTCTTTAGGGGACAAAACTCCAAAAAGGAAAACCTGAAGACAGAGGATACAACACTAACACAGAAGAAACATTTAACACAGGGGAGCATAAATTCGGAGGCAGAAGAGACGCACAAGGTCAAGGCAAGCCGGGTGACGGCTGAGCCCCAGGGACTCTGTTAGCCATGAGAGAGGCCAGCTCTCTTTGTTAAGTGTGACCACACTGCTTTCAGAATGCAGACTCTGCGCTGCAGGCAGACCAAGCGGGCCTGGTCCATCTGTGTCTGACCCAGCAACCGCTGCAGCTCTGTCCGTTCCTTCTACACACCTGCTTAGCCACCCTTCTGTTCACTGGCCCCTCTCGTCATACGGCCCGCCAATGAAGAGGCCTGAAGTGAGGCTCCTGAGTTATCCAGCTGCTATCATCTCAGAAAAAGGCCTCTGGGCTCTGCTGCCAAACAGGAAAAGCCTCTCGGGCTCCCAACAGGAGGTCTAGGATTGAAGCTCCAACCACCAGGGGCAGGGAGGGCCACGGGCTGATCTCCAGGGAGGGGAGGCTGAAAGGCCAGCTGTCTCTCTGCCCCTGTCTCCCGGGCAGATGGCTCCACCACTGTGCATGTGGGTACAGGCGGAGGGGCGGGTGGCACCAGGCTCCGGGTAACATATGTCACTGTGCTAATGGAAGCAAATTAAACAGCATGGTTGGTCTCACACACCAGCTTCGCAGGGCTGGGGCTGCCATGGAGAATGGATGAGATCCAGACTCCACAAGGATGTGCTATAGAGCTGTCTGGACACCGTGAATGAACGGACTACACTGGTGAAGGGTCGGTGCGGGAGCTCTGCTTCCCCGCCTGCCAGGCACGGCCGTGACGACAGTGTCGCGCAACCTTATCTCTCCCTAAAAATGAGGATGATCAGAGGCTTGTCGTTAATGTTTTTAAATGTCATTATGTGAAGAATTTAGCACAGTCCTTAGCTCATAAGAAGCCTCCAGTGAATTCGACTACTACAGTCACTATCAATATAATTATTATCTGAAAAAAAAGCTTCTAAAGGATAATCTCCACCTTACAGAGTGATTACGGGGATTAACTGCATATCATCTGTAACTCTGCCTGCTCCCCAGCGTAACACATAGTAAGTGCTCAGAAACCGTAGCCATTCCCCACCCCAAAGAAACTGAATCTGGTCTCCCTGACACGCTTCTTGGAAGGCCAGTAAACTTTCCAGACAAGACACTCGAATTCTTGTGAATGATAATGTCTGCAGAGTAGATACCATCATTCTCCAGGTGAGAAAACGGACTCTCAGGACTCAAGGACACGAACCTAACGTGTGACAGACTGAGGCCTTCTCAGTAAACAGCTGCCCCCAAAAGTACCAGCAACTTTAGAAATCATCAGCTCAACCATCTTTGCTTCAAAAGAGCAAAAAGACTACATTCCCAGGTTACCACTTCTCCGTGAACATGTGAGTTCTCCGGAAAGACCTTTTTACAGAACGAATCCAAAGGGACCCATTTCTATGGAGAACAAGTTCTCTGCAATGCTTAACACTCGGTATAACCTGCCATTAAAAGAGGGCTTTTTACATACACCTTTGGTTTTCCAGCTAAGGAATGTTAATCTGCTCCCCAGAATGAGGACTCAGAAGTTACAAGATAAACTCAATTATACTGAACAATATCACAATGAACCTTCTAGAATAAAGCAAACACCCCCAACGAGGGTCTGCACCACTCTCGGCTTCCCTCCTCCCACGTCTGCCCACTCTGAGTCACTTACTGGCATCCCTGTTACCAAGTCCAGCTATCAAGGCTCGGTCCACACTCCCCCCAGACCCAAGCAAGGCTCAGTCCTCATTCCGTGCCCTACCCACCAACCGTCCGGCAGCAAGTGACACAGGGAATCTAAGGCCCATCCTTCTGGAAACGGTTCCTTTGGTTCTGCCACCTACCGGGCTGGTCTCTGCTGGCTCCCCTCCTCTCCCCAACCTCTGAAGCAGTTTGGTCCAGAGACTCTTTCCCTCTCCTAATTCTATGCACTCCCAAGGTGACTCCCTCCGATCCCATGATGTTTTCTCTTCCGTCTGGCCCTCTACCCTCAACTCCAAACTATTTCCAACTGCCTTCTGCGAGGAGGCTGAGCTCAATCTCATCTTACAGAAGGTCACAGAGGTGACAAAAAATAATGAAAACACACCTCCCAGGAAGCTGATGATGATGAATTTTGAAAGAGTAAATTCAGTTATGCAAACTGAGGATCTGCTATTTACTGACAAACGGTAGGAAAATATGTAGGAACCGCCGTCTCGGCTCCATGTGAGCGGAGCTGAGCACACACCGGAGCTGAGCACACACCGCAGCTGCGGCCTCTTGCTAGCCCTGCGGCTACTGTGGCTCACAGCACCGCCGCTCCTATGTTGGGAAGTGCTCATCTTCTTTGGAG